TTAGTTTAGTTTGTTTGTTTGTTTTTTATTACTGCTTTCAATTAGCTAAGTTTTTAAAAAGAGATGGTCTGAAATCTTGAAGATTCCAATTCTGATAAGTCCCTCCTTATCCTCCCCCGTGCAGCTATAGACTGTTCAGCTCTCTAACCAATCAGGAGGTGGTGGTGAACAATGCCTTATATAATACTGAGTCACGCCAAAGCCCAGACTGCAAGCCGATCTCTGGGCACAGAAATCAGCATATGAATGCACAGTGCACAAAAACACCGCCCAGCACAAATGAGCTTTTGGGAGACAATCCAGATTCTGGCCATTAAGATTGTTCCACCCACTTCTTTCCATTGAAACACTGGGCTGGCCTGGTAGCCATCCAGAAAGATGGGGCAGGACACGCTCCTCTTCACCCTACAGATGTGGATCTCAAGAGCACCCTCAACAGTGCAAGTCTGCAGAACACATCCACTCAGATTCCCAATGGCTGATCTCGCTCCCTGCAATCTGAGGGTTAGCTGACTTGAAGAACTGATCCTATACCCAGGGCTGGATTTAAAAGCTCCTAGCCAGTTCCCAGCTAGAGAACCCAAGCTTGAGACTAGGCACAGACCAGAGGCTTCTTGTGGATGTCTATGTATAACACTTGGTGGGGTCCAGCAGTCACCTCACAAACCACCAATCTCAGTCCGACAGAGATAGTTAATTGAGCATACACCCCAGGGCTGATCAATCAGGGCCATGTTCAGACTCAGAAGCTGAACTGTGACATTAAGATTCTATAGGGTTTTTAAGTCTAAAATCCACATACATCTGTGCCACATTATTTCACCAATCAAGATTTAGGGATGGGGATTTCCTTAGCAACATGTCTTTATTACACATTTATCTTGTCCCCATTGGTCACGATATTCAACTATGGTGGGGCACTTGCTTTGTCTAACATTCATGACTTAGCTTGTTAACCAACATGGGACTTGTCTTGTAACATTCATGTCTTAACTTGCCAACCAGGATGTCAGTTCCCGTGAAGGTCTTGAGAATTTAAAGTTTTCTCAACCTCCTACTCCATATGGAAGTCTTATTTCAAATAGTTTCTTATATTGGTGTAGGTCCATCCTAGTGGCAGCTTATAAAAGCAAATACCATAAAAGCTTATACACAGGTATAGAAAGTGCTGCTGGGTGGTTGGCTCCAGTCCGAGCTTATTGTGGGTAACTATACAAAACAATTCTACTGACTTCTATCATGATTGGTTTTCAAGGACATAGAACATAACAGAATATGTAATCCACTTGGGCATGAGAAAGAGTCCTAGTAACAACAGAAACAACATAGAGATATTTTCTTTATATTATTAATAACAGCACAAAATGGCAGGCTAGACAGATAACAGTTACCTAGGCCTTAACAACACTGAAATTGGTTAACCTTTATGTTTCCTTTTTAACTTTACTATCGCTGTGTGTATGTGCACGAATGTATGCATTCACGTGCCAGGCTTTCAAAGGCAAGCATCTTTATCTTTGAGCCACCTCACTAAACCTCTTTGTTGTCTTAAACAATTAGAATTTTTTGTTTGTTTGTTTCGAGACAGGGTTTCTCTGTGTAGCCCTGGCTGTCCTGGAACTCACTCTGTAGACCAGGCTGATCTCGAACTCAGAAATCCACCTGCCTCTGCCTCCCAAGTGCTGGGATTAAAGGCGTGCATCATCACCGGCCAGCTAGACTCTTTCTTTTTAATTTTGGTGCTAGGAACTGATCTCCAGTTCTCATGCATGACAGGCTAGGCCCTCAACCACTGAGCTACATCCCTAACCCCTTTCAGTGTTTTTAGGTTGTTTAGATGTTTTAGGTGATTTTAGGTTGTTGTTTTGCTGTGTTTCATTTTGTTCTGACGGAGTCTCTGTAGTCCAGACTGACCTGGACTCTGTATTAAACTTTTTTTTTTTTTTTTTTTGGTTTTTCAAGACAGAGTTTCTCTGTATAGTCCTGGCTGTCCTGGAACTCACTCTGTAGACCAGGCTGGCCTCAAACTCAGAAATCCGCCTGCCTCTGCCTCACAAGTGCTGGGATTAAAGGCGTGCGCCACCACCACCCGGCTGTATTAAACCTCTTGCTCTAGCCTTCTGAATGTTATGATTACAGGCATAAGCCATCACACCAGGCTTTTCCATGTGTGCTTTTGTCTCTGTCTCAAACCACAGCCTGCTCCATGTCCTTAGGCAGTATTTATTCCCCTCCTTGTCTTCAGGTACAAATGGGAAGTGTGGAGTTTGGAGCAGTTTCCTCTCCCTGGGCACTGCCTGCCCTCTATAAGTGGTTGGCAGGTTGTGTTAGTTATGGTTCCTATTGCTGTGAAGAGACACCATGAGGATGGCAACCGTTATAAAGGAAAACATTTAATTGGGGGTGGCTTACATTGTGGCGGGAAGCACACAGTGCTGAAGAGATAGCCGAGAGTTCTATACTTGGGTCAGTGGGTAGCAGGAAGAGACACACTGGTCCTTCCCAGGGATTAGCTCTGGACTTTTGGGGTTCAGACCTAGGTGAAACACATAGTTGAACTAAAGCCCTAAGACTGATGATCTCCGGCCTTGTAACTCTAACTGTCCTGGGGGCTAGAAGCTGATGGCTTCCAGAAACTTAACACTCTCTTGCTTATTCTGTGGCTGAAAACCGCTGGCATCTTTTGTCTTCAACTCTGTGTTTGAATAAGCGCTGGGGAAACTTAACTCTTTGCTGTTGTTCTGTGCTTAAATAAATGCAAAAAAACTTAACTCTATTACTATTCTGTGCTTTAACAAACACTGAGAACTTAATTCTTTAACTCTCTTATTATTTGTGCTTAGGTAAGTGCAAATATCTGGCCATTTTACACATGCTGTTTAGCAGTGGGGGATTAAGTAAAGGCTTTTATTATTGCTAGAGCTTCTTTCTCTGGACAGTCAGCCAGGAGCTCCACCCTGGCCAGGTGAGAGGCTTGGAGTGTTTCGAACCAGAGAAAAAAAGAAGGAAAAAAGTCACTTACACAGACCACACACACACACACACACCACACACACACACTGGGTGAAGTGGAAAACAGCTGCACTACTTTCTTTACTGCTAGCAGTCTTTTTACAGCTTTTTAGACAAAAAAAAATTCTCTATGTAAGAAATAATTACCTCACAGATAAAATGTTACATAAAGAAGGAGTTACAGAAAAGTATCCATAACAAGCTCAAAGCAGTTTCATACTGTAAGCTCATTATAAATTCAAAACAACAGTTTTTACATGACCTTGCTTTATCATAGTGCACACCTGTGGCTTCATCCTTGGAGCAGAATGTTTTTCCTTGAACACAAATTTGTCCCAAGCCAATATCTCTTTTTAGTGTCTGAAAGCTCATTGTATTTCTTATTATAAAGCTTTTATTTAATATTTATGAGTGGTCACATTCTATTCTTGATTCTAAATTATTAAATCATTCTAGCAAAACTACTAAAACCATAACTTTCTTCCTAAAATTACTTTAATCAAATCAGGAATTCTATGAAATCATTAATTCATCTAAACAGCATTAACTCATGAAAGCTCATCTTTACATTGATCTGCAGGAAGTCTGCTCAATAGGGTGACCAGGAATCCTTAGGCTATGTAATAGTTACAGGAAAGGCAAATCAGTTGCAAGAAGCAATCCTGGGAGCTGGCTTACAGGTTCTGAAGTTCAGTCCATTATCATCATGGTGGGAGACTGGCAGCATCGAGGTAGGCATGGTGCTAAAGGAGCTGAGAGTTCTACATCTTGTTCCAAAGGCAGACAGAAAAAGACGGTTTTCCAGGCAGCTAGGAGGAGGGTCTCAGAGCTCACCCGTACAGTGACACACTTCCTCCTAATAGTGCCTCTCCCTGGACCAAGCATATTCAAACCTCCACACATACAGGAGTGCGGGAATCCAAAGTCATTGCCTTTAGGAATATAGCCCAAGGTCAGTGAGACATCATACGACTGAGACAGTAAGTTAGTAAGTTAGGGTAGACCAGAATGTGACTCCACGTAGGGATCTGAACTTCATGTAACAGCCCCGGTAGAGATGAAGACATCCTAATGAGACACTCTGTCTCTCGATTTGACTATTGAAACAATGGAACCCAAAGAAATGGGAATTTCTCCAGGAATCTCATACTGAAATAAGAAAAAGGCCTCAGCCAAAGAGGCAACTTTTGTCCCAGAGATTCTACACAGTTCTAGCAACTTACCAGATCACCTTACATGATGGGTCAATGGCAGGCAGGACCTAGACAGTAACAATCATACGGACAACTGGAGTGACAGAGGATAAATCAGATCGACAAATGGTTCAGTTCTATACAGAGTTCTGAGACGTGTGTCTGGGGAGCAGACATGTTCAGAATGGACTTGGTCCACTTCCGGGCTTGTCTCACATTCATTCCCTCACTCTTCAAAAATGTATTCATTTCTTCCAAACATAATTCTGAAGATTTGATGTGCAAAAGTTTGTCGTTGGTCATGGGTTATTTTGTATTTACTAATCGGTCCCTATTTTTTTTTAAAAGCATAATCTGCTAATCTCAGTTAATTCTCACGATTGCCCCACAAAATATGACTGACTGCTGTCCTCTTAACAGGGACATGGAAGCAATCTGGACCTTGCGAGACCTGCATTTAGGGAAACTCCAGCTGGTGGGTTGAAAGGAAAACCACATTGGGTCTTAAAGGTTGTGGAGCATTGGGAAAAAATACTTCCTTGGGCTCAGCCTACGTTTTCCCACCTTTCAAACTGGCACACTAGTAGCTGCCTCTGGCATGCCGGGTGATTAACTGGATGCAGAGCGCTGAGCACCGCGGACTGCGCATCCTCACGTACAAGCTTCACAGGTTCCATAGGCGGTGATTAGCAGTGTCCTTGCGAGTTTCCATGACCTCCGTGGAGGCGTCGTCGTTCTACCCCCGACCGCAAGGGGCCGCTGCGACAAGGCTCGCTCCCGGCGCCGGGCCGCTCTAGCCACGCCCAGGGAAGTCACTGTCCTCACCTTTTAGGAGCCCGCGCCTTGGTTCCAGCGGACGCGTCCCCTGATCGCGGCTCTACCACCATCCACTGCCGTCTTACCGCCCACCATGGCCCTCCTGCACTCCAGCCGCGTCCTCTCCGGGATGGCTGCTGCCCTTCACCCAGGCCTTGCAGCTGCAGCCTCTGCCAGAGCCAGGTGAGCCTAGGGATACGGAGATGCAGCGGGACCGCGGGCCTGCCCCTGCCCAGCCGAACTGTGGACCCTGCGAAACCTCCACCCTACCCCGCGATCAAACACGCACCCTCACCCTCCCATGTCGCCAAGGGTTGCCTGTCCCGGGTCTGAGAATCTAGTGTCTGCTACCCAGGGTGACCTCAGGACCCCTCATCCCTTCCCTGCATCGCTGGACAGAGGGCCAGCATAGTTCCCGGGGATGGGAATTGTGACTTTCGACTTCACCTGGACCCCCATTCTAGTGGGTGATGGGGGTCCAAGATGTAGACTCAGCACAGTGGGGTGCGGGGCGAGGGGTGAGCACGTGGGCGGTGGCGCTGGGCCATCCCCTCACCGATTGGCTATGGTGCCGGAGCTGCTTGTCGCTGATTGGCTATGGTGCAGGGGGCGCGCGTGCCCTTGACCAGCTGCCCTGCAGGGCGGCGGGTCCAGCTGTCGGGGTCTGGAGGGTTAAATCTGGCAGTGCTGTGTAGAAGCGGGCCCTGCGTGGCCAAGGGAAATTGTGACCACATGGAGAGAGATTCTCGGGGCTCCCAGATCCCGCGTGCATCCGTGACCTTGGCATGGTGCATCCTTTCCCTCAGTGTCACCACACTAGTGCCCGGCAGACTAGTCTGGCCTTTGGATGGAAAAGAGTTGAAGTGTAATGCACTTTCTTTGTTTTAAACCCTTGGGAGATTCAGCTGACTGGAAGCCATCAATCAATCTTTCTCTGCTCTGCATCTCAGTAGGCTCTTTCCGTCCCGTAAATATTTCGTAACCGAGTTTCTCCGAGCCAGGCAATGGACCAGTTGCTGGTGATGCAGCTGTGAGCAAGACAAGAGGACTGGCTTCCGTTTAAAAACAAAAACAAAAAAAAAAAAAAAAAAAAGAAAGAAAGAAAGAAAAAAAACAAATGAGTCATCTTAAACTAAGGTGTACTGAGAGAAAGTTCCAGGCCTAAATGGAAACTAGTAGTAACTCTTAGTTCTTCCCTGAGCCCCAGGAGAGCAGATTTGAGAAATCTGCTGGAGTACTGCAGGCACCTCCCTGGGGCACACACTAACTGAAAGTGAAACCTACCTAACTTTTTTTTTATGTATATGAGTACACTAAAGCTGTCTTAAGACACACCAGAAAAGGGCGTCAGATCCCATTACAGATGGTTGTGAGCCACCCTGTGGTTGCTGGGAATTGAACTCAGGACCTCTGGAAGAGCAGTCAGTGCTCTTAACCGCTGAGCCAACTCTCCAGCCCCCTACTTAACTTTTTATGCATGCCTTCTTTCCTTTCAATGTGTTCAAGCGTCTTCAAGCTAGAAGAACAGTCTGTCCTTCCCAGAGTCCGTTTTTTGGGCTCCATGCCAGTGAGTGCCCTTTTAAGCCTACCCACCTGAAGGGGAGAATGGGGGGAAAGTGATTTATATTATGCTGCGATTTGGAGAACAAAAAAGGGGTACTTCTATGGGCAGGAGAAAAATCAGTTTTCCTGTTATTTTAACCTTGAAATATCCCTTGTTTTTAATGTATATACCTGAAAGACCTGACCTTTCCTTAAACTTCTTGGCGAGCTACCCCTTGGGTGTAACTGCTTAGTGATTTCAGTCTGAGAGCCTGACTACTGTCCATTTTCTGTCATTTCCCAGTTAGAATTTAAGGTGAGGGAGAGCAGAGGCCTTGGCAACTTAGTTCCGAGTTGTATCTAAATACTTGCTTCAGTGTTGGGGTTACTATGTAGCCCTGGCTAGCCCAAAACTTACTATGTACACCAGGCCTGCCTGAGACATGCTTCAGTCATTGTACCTGTACCTTCCCACTGTTATTACAACCAGCTTCCTTCTCCCTTCCCCCACTGGGAATAGAACCCAGGGCCTCAGTGCATACCAGGTAAGCCACTGTTCCAGAGATACATGCCTGGCTGGTGGAATGCCTTTCACTTTTGTCTATTTTTATTTCAAGCCCTCATTTTTTAAACAAATGCAGCATTTTTAGTAGTTTTTTTTTTAAGATCAAAATCTACACATAGTGCTGCAAAATATGTATCAAAAGCAAAATGTTAGGGGTATGAGACAGAGGAATTGCCTTGAGTTCAAGGCCATTCTCCTGAGCTACAAAAAAAAGTTCTGGGCCAACCTGTGCTAGAGCATGAGGCTGTAAATAAATAAGAGACATTTCAAAAGCTGCATAAGCCTCTGGGAAATACAAAGCATTTGAAATGCTTATCTGAATACTTTGTACCTAGCATCTTTTGGTTGAGTGGTCACAACATGTTGCTCAATGTTTGCGGCTCTGCACTTCTGTCCAAAGGGCATTGGTAGGGATCATTTTGTAGGCCATAGGTTATCAGTTTATCCCCCGGAGCACTCTGGTTTTCGTCTAATGCTACTTCTTTACAAATAGCAGAACTCTCCCATGTCTACAGTCTTCACAGTTTTAAGGCGTGGGATAATGAGGGACATAGAGAACCTAGCATTTGAGCAGTCGTAGCTGATCAAAGGAGCACTGCTCCTGTGCTTAGCATGCTCGAAAGTCGGTGTTTTGAAATTGGGGCATTCATTTTTTACGAGGTATGCAAGAATATTCATGGCTGAGGCTTCTAGAGAATTTATCTGCTACATATTTTATGTAAGTGTTGCTCACACTATTAAACAAGAATGATATACCTCCTGTCCTTTCGAGAGGCAGCTCTGTCATTGTTTAAGGGCCTTTTTTTTAAAAATGAAAGTTGCCTTCTGGACTTTTGAATGTCCTTGACAGTTAAAGTATTCATTTCACTCTGCACTTCTTGACAGTGATGTCGATAGGCAGGTGGCTGCATGGCTCCTGTATGAACTGGGGATGAGAAACAAGCAAAACCAAAACCTATCTGAGTTGTTTCAGAGTATCTGTTTTTCCCTCACAGCTACAGTAACCGCTAAAAGGAGGAAAGGGAAGACTTTTTTTTTTTTTTTTTTTTTTTTTTTGGTTTGGTTTGGTTTTGGTTTTGGTTTTGAAGCCAGGGTTTCTCTGTATAACAGAACCCTGGCTGTCCTGGAACACGCTTTGTAGACCAGGCTGGCCTCACAGAGATCTGCCTGTCTCTGCCTCTTTCATAGCAGGCATTAAAGGTGTGCTTCAGCACTACCTAGCTAGGGGATAATTTTTTTATTCCTTGCCTAGAGCTAAGAATGGATAAAGATGATGTCACCTGAGAATGTAAAATAATAACAACAATAATGTTAAAGCCAGAAAGATATTCATGTGGCCATAAGTTCCTATGGCCACATCCTGTTTGAAGACACTGCATATTGATCTTGCAGGGCTCTATAGCTGAATGGTGACAAGTGACACTGTAGTAGTGACTTAGAAACTACTGCCAGTTAATATCAGAAACTGTGCCTGGGTCCTCCGACTGTGTCCATTAATACTCACCCTCTGAGATAGATGCCGTTACTGTTACACCACATTTAACAGATGAGGATTCCTGAGATTGGGAGTCTCTTCCCTTGCCTCTGCTCACACAGTTCCTAAGTGGGTAAGCTGCTTGAATCCCCACGGTTTGCCCAGGCCAGGCTATTAAAAGACACCATTGAAAAAAGTAAAACCCTGGGAAATCCAAAGCCAGAAAAAAAAAAAAAATCTGCTCTTAAATAACAGAACTAACAGCGCACCAAGCACAGGTTCTGTTGGGAGCCCCACCAGGTCGGCCAGAGCCTGCCACTTGCATTACTCATGAGAGTGAGGCTGGCTGGGAGTACTGACTGGCTGCACTTTCCGGTGGGACCTGGCTGGCTAGGAAATCCTAGTGAATAATTCGCTGCACCCTGCTGAAGCATTTGACAGAGACTAGATGGATGAAAAGAACTTGAACATTTCCCTAAGTTACCCGGAGCCTGATTTCCATACCTTCCGGTTTCTACTGCAGCAGCATGCAGCTTCCATATCCTCCGCCCTTATTCTTAACCCTGTGTCGCACTCACTTTTCCTCCAACCCCTCTCCTCCCTAGCACTAAAGCTCGTAGGTACCCCCCTCCCGGAAACCTCCCTAACTTTCCTTCAAGGACTTCGGTTGTCTTTCTGAGGGTTTAGCCAAAAACATACTCAGTTCCCTGTCCCAAAGTCATCACTGTGACTCACAGCCCGGCTGCACTGTTAAATGTCTCCCTGTTGGTCACCCCACACCTAATCTCGTAGGAAGTGGTTAATATTCTACTCTTTACAGTCCCAACTTCAAGCACACTAGCACACGGCAGGTTTATAACCATCACCTTAGGACACCTTAAAGCAGCTGTTCTTTTTTTTTTTCTTTCACTTTTTGTCGATTCTTGGTGAATTTCACATCATGCACCCCAATCCCATCCATCTCCCTGTCCCTTCATGTCTATCCTCTGCCCCTGCAAACACCCCACCACCACCACTAAAAAAGATTTTAAAATGTATGGAAGCTCTAATGTATCAGTGTGTGTCCCACAGTTTACCCTTCGGCCCAGGCATCTTTATTTGCAAATGTTCATTGCAATGAGTCATTGGTCTGTTTCGAGACGTCTGGCTTCTGCTACACTATCATACTGGAACCTCACTGGGACTTTCTCTTGTATATCCTGATGTTGCCCTATGTCTTAGGGAACCTGCAGCTTGGGGGTCTTCAGGAACAGGCCTTTCACACACTCCAGAAGGAAGCAAGCCAACTCATAGCCCTGAATCTGGGTGGTAGCTGAGTTGGTCAGCCCACTAGCTAGCTCTCTTATGTGGGCACCACAAGGATGAGCTTTCCAGCACTGTCCCCAGCTAGCTTACCCACTGCCACAGCTTGCAAGGGGCAGGATGCATAACAGTAGCAAAATTAGAGTTATGAAGTAGCAATGAAATAATTTTATGGTTGGAGGGTCACCATAACATGAGGAACTGTATTAAAGGGGTCTCAGCATTAGGAAGGCTGAGAACCACTAAAGACTTTCATTATATAGCCAGGAATAATGGCCCACATCTTTAATCCCATCGCTC